TCTGGATTCTCAGCGCGGATGGAAGCAGCCACCTCATCATGAATCATCTGGCTGAGCTCCTCATCGCTCAAACCCCCCTCACTAGTCCCTGGCCTGTGGCGTGTCCCCACCATAATGTCTCTCTGAAATACAACACAAGATATCAGAGACTTGCTCGAGTGTACACACACTCGATATCCCAATCCAACTTGATCCCTAGTACCCTAAGGATTCTTACTTGGGCTGCGCACTGATCCGGTGCCTTCGGTAGTACGAGCCCAATACTACCGTCCACACTACATCAATATTCACCCCAAGTATTTCTCCTAGGATTCCAAATCCCAAGTACTCTATTCTCTCTCTATGCATAGTCTACTCTCTAGCAGATCTCTCATAAGCTCCTCGCTGCTACCTATTCACTCTCAAACATCTCCTAGTAGCAAAATCCCTAGGCTAAGGCATCACAAATCAGGCCACTCTAGTCCTAATAAGAATACCTAGCCTACTTTAGCATGCATATCATATCATAACATATCTCATAACTCATAATGTAAGGGTATTTTGGGAAATCACCGTTCGGGCGCTGGCTGATCGTACACACTGCTCTGCTCTACTTTTTCAAAACTTTTTACTCTTGAGAAAATTTTGTAAATTTTATTTTGAAAATCTCCCAAATCCTCAGTTTGAGTTCAGTTACACCCGAAGGTGTACCCGAATCCCTCAAACCAAGGCTCTGATACCAACTTGTAACGCCTAAAATTTTCAAAATAATTTTTCACATTTTATAAAACACATTTTCATTCATAATTATTATAAAAACACCATTGTATCATATAGTCAAATATAACATCACATCCCAAGATCAAAATATAAAAAACTCCTCGTGTGTGAACTGATCAGGCCGGCGCCTTCCCGCGATCCTCACTGGTACCTGAAACACATAACACAACACTGTAAGCATAAATGCTTAGTGAGTTCCCCAAAATACCACACACAATACATATCAGCTACTCGAGGCTATAACTCTGGTTGACCCTCTGGTCAATGTGTCTCAATGGGACCCTCCAGTCCCATAACTCTGGGGGCTCTCTGGCCCTAACTATGAGGACCTTACGGACCTAACTCTGAAAACTCTGGCACATACATAGCATAAATCACATAGAAATCACATCATGTAAAAACATACAAATATTCTGTCACATAACTCTAATTACCACTCTAGGTAAAGTATAGTGAGAAGACTCACCTCAATGAAGTCGGATAAACTCTCGTGCTCAACGTCCCGACCTAGCCTCCTCCTATTATTCAAATAAAATTCCCGATTAATACTCTCCCATGATTTCATCTCTCCAGACTGGGTAGAAGGCCATTCTACCCTTCCCTGAACTCTCCTGAATCAGCCTTGACCAGAACCCTAAAGTCAATGAAAGTCAATGGTCAACTTTGACCCGAATCGTCGAGTGCACAAAGGTGACTCGGCGAGTCCAAGCGGGTCCTCTGAATCCTTTTAGGCTCTCATGGCTCGTCGAGTCTTCCTTCCACTCGACGAGTTACACCTATCACGAATTGCGGGGCAACCCCGACTCGACTCGTCGAGTCCGCTCATGGACTCGGCAAGTTCATTCCATGCTCATACTCAAATGAACTTCTGAGGTTAGATCTATTCCTCTAATCAATAGATCTAACCTCCCCAAGCTCAATAAACACGTAAAGGTTCAAACTTGATACTCATGCAACGTCCAAATGACACTACTTGATGATTTAGCCCAAAATACAACATCCTAAGTCCATTTCTTCCATAACTCCTCATAAAGCAAGATGGAATAAGTTCTCTGGACCACTTTGGATCTAGATCTGATATCTAAACATGATAAGGGACCATATTCCCAACAAATCAACCCATTAAAGGGTATAGAAAACCCTAGATCCATGGATTCTCTAACAAAACAGAAAAAAGGATCGATATGCTACCTTAAGGATGATGTCCTTTGCTTGAAATCCACAAATAAGCAACCTCCTTGGCCTCCTCTAAGCTGGAATCAACTTCTTCTTGCAAAACAAACCCACAAAGGTCCAATAATGGCTTATTCTCCCTCACAAACGCTCAAGCACTATTAGGGTTTCACTCAAGGGTCTGGTAGCCTCAAATGGTGGCTGTAAGGGTCCTTAAATAGGTCCCAAACCCAAGAAATTAGGGTTTCATTAAACAGAGTGGACTCGCCGAGTTCACTTATGGACTCGTCGAGTCCTTCACTAAATCAGACCAAAAGATGCGCGATCCTACTCGGCGAGTCTGAGCGCCTAGTCGCCGAGTCAATCTCATAGATTCCATATAAATACTTAACATATGATACCTGGGAATCCGGATTTTACAAACTAAGTGTTTACCAGATGTTTTGGACTACGTGTTCACCTGTTGTAATCTATAAACATTGGTAACGATGGACTTTGTACCTATTCCTTAGGATAATCCTTAGGAATAAATATAAGAGGAATAGCTGATATTTAGGGTAGATCCTGAAGAGTAA